CTGAAGCCCGAAAGCCCTAAACCCTAAACCCTAAAGTTCTGAACCCAGGGAGTCCCAAAGGCTATAAGTAAGCCCCTACAAGTTTAGGGCTTTAGGGGTTCAGGGTTTAGGGGTTTTTAGGGTTTAGTGGTTAGGGTTTAGGGTCCAGGGTTTAGGGAAAACCCTACAACACTCAATTCATGCGAGGTTGGAGGTGGACCAGCAAGGGCAGATGTCCGATGCCGCCGCACTGAAGATCCTGAACCGGCTCAATTCTGTGCCTCGGCATCGGGGCAGATCGGCGTTGGTTCGCAGACAGGTGTGGTAGTCTTCTGGTGACTGCGCCAATGAAGCTTGAGGACTTGGTTTAGTGTAGTATCGGTGTAGTTGGTAGGCTTGCGGGATGTGTGTCATCGTGCTCACCGCCACCATCACTATCGTTGTCGCATCATCGTTCTCATGATCCTTATTGCCATGGGCAGGCGGGGTCGTCATCACTATCGTCTTTACTGTACCCATCGTCGTCATCCGATCATCATGGTGGCTATCTGCTTCGTCTTCATCCACATCCTCCTGTTCATCCCCAAACCCGAAACCCTAAACTCAAAAACCGAAAACCTTAAGCCTAGACTCTCCAGTTCATGTCTACAACTGGGAGATCTCAGGCCGACCACAAGCACGTTAGGCTGGGTAGTGCGACAGCAGATCAGGTTTGGGGTGCAGGGTTTTGGGGTTTAGTTTTTTTGGGGTTTGCGGGTTAAGGTTTAGGGTTTAGGGTTTTGGTTTTTGGGGTTTAGGGTTTAGGGTTCATGGCATAAGTCTGTTGTCAGCTGAGCCGCCAGGTCCTGTAGTGTTGACTAGCACTGCGTCCGACTCGACACGAAGGCGACAAATCATGAAAGTGTAGGCTGGAAGTGGGAGTGGCCTTGTTGCCCCAAACGCGTCACCTGCCAGAGATTTGAGATTCTGAGATGATGAGAGGCCCTAGGTACCCTGTAACTCGAGAGCTTGAAGCCCTAAGCCCTAAACCCTAAACCAGCAGTGGGTTGTTCTGCAGATCTGCGGCCCCAACTCCCAGAATTCACGAGGAAATGGAGGCCGCGGACCAGTTGCGCCAGCTACTGCATCGATTGGGCTCCCCCTTCGTGCAGAAGTTGCTGGGCTTGATCCGGACTCCCGAAATCGGTAAAGCCACTTTCAGGGTCTAGGGTTTGGGGTGTAGATTCAGAAAACCCGTAGGCAGGGTTGGTGAGGCATGGGGGCCCGGCAAGGATTTAAGCTTGCAATGCGCAACCCGATTTCGTCAGTCCGATTAGCCGACCACCCAGAGATCAAAGGTGCCTCAATGAATACCGAGCTTACATGCACCTGAGACCCTCCAGTGTTGACATGATAGGGTCACAATCCATGCCAGAAGAAACCCACCTGGCAACAGGCCCCAGACACTAAACCCTAAACCCTGAACTCACCAAGACCTTCCAGCCTGAACCCAATCCATAATAGCTGCTGCACCGGGTCGTAGGCTCTGAGTGCAGTGCATCTGGCACCGCTCTTGATTGCTTGTGCGTAGGGTTGAGGGTTTAAGGCTTAGGGGGTAGGGTTTAGGGTCTAGGGTTTAGGGGAGTAGGGTTTAGGGTTTAGGGCTTAAATAAAGTTTAGGGGAGTAGGATCTAAGGGTTAAGGTTTAGAGGAGTAGGGTTTAGGGTTTAGGGTTGTTCGCTTTAGGGTTGTTTGGAGATGTAGGGTCTCGAAAGTTGGAAGGTGAGGGCTTAGTGGCGATTTCCATCACGCAAGAAACTGGTGAAGAGTGTTTGCTTCACGCGTCATGATGTACAGAGAGTCTATCTTCGTCCTGTGCAACGCGGTTTTTCGATGCTATTGAAACTAAGTGAACTTACTGTGTATGTAGGTTGGCTTGCGACCTGTGCCAGACAAGCTCCCACTTCGTGCCGTAGTGGGTTCATGTGATATAGCCGCCTGAAATGTTGGAATAGAGAAAATAGGGTTTTGGGGCCCTCTCCCATCTAAGTAGAATAATATTCTACTTCTAATTGCTGTAGGGAACCCTGCGGAACAGCATAGGTAAATAGTTCTGGCCCTGCAGCCATCACCCGTCACTTCCGCCAGCGACCGTCAAGTCAAGCTCTCGTCCCTTCCTGCACCCGACTGACGCCATGGGCTGCCTCATGGGAATCTTGTCGTTGGGTTGGTGTGTCTGCTTTTTGGGTGTTGGGGAGGGGGGGGGGGGTTGGTGAGATTTGAGATTGTTGAACAGCCTGCGTGCACCGGAGATCAGCTCTTGGCATTGTTCCGCTGCAGCCCTGTGACGCTGTATGCCAACAAAACTTCAGCAAGTTGAAAACATCTCAGGAAAGGAGGAGATGGCTGGCCAGCCGATGCCTTATGCCCCGAACTATAACTACCGGAACCAAGCGCACCGCGGCGTAGACGGGTTTCAGGGCTGAGGGTGGGGGTGGCTTAAGCATCGCCTCGTTTCTACGTGGTGAAGTTCTGTATGCCAGGTACGGTGGCTATCAGCAAGTCTATGAGCAGCAGTACGCCCCGGGACAGGTTTGCCAGCCTAACAGATACGAGAATGCTCCGGGACAGCCCTTTTGCCAGGATCACTTCGGCTGCATGTTTGCTTTTTAGGGTTTAGGGTTTAGGGTTTAGGCCTTTTGCTTCGAGCGTTAGGTTGCGATTGTTGGACAGGATCATTTCGGCTACAACCAACCGTCGCCGGGCTTTTACGGCGACTGCCGCCCCACGGTCCCGGAGCCTGTGCAGTGCCGGCCGCTGACGGGATACGCTGATCCTTATGCCCAGCCTGGATGCTTGGACAGCTATGCAGGTTCTGGGTTTTCTTGGGTAGAAATTCGTTATGGTACTCTTGTAGCATGCTGGGCCATCAAGGATACACCCAGCCTGGCTACAGCCAGATGGACTATGGCGCACCCACCAACGGTCAAGATGTGCCATATCAGCAGCGTCAAGGAATGAGCTCAGGCGGCTTGACTGTCTCACGCAGGGAGGACTCTGTTAAAACAACACCCAAATCCCATGCAAGTTCCACC